TGGTTCGGTACTAGGATTGGTAAAGCAGATTTAAACAATCAGAGCTGACTCATACAAGTCATGAAATATTGCATGGTAATATTATCTTCCAATTAGAATTAAAATGTAAAAGTAATTCTTAAAACACTTCTTTTAATAAGAATCTGTATTTAAGGTAAAAGAGTATCTAGTTTTCTTCCAAATATCCTGGTAGAGCTAAAACTATTATTATTATTTCTAAAAAGTATACTTTTAATGTGCAAGGTTTAAAAAATACTCATGGATTTCATTTCATTTATTCTTCTATCTTTTGAGCAGAGGAAATGAATGTGCTTGATGGGTGGGAGGCGCTGGACAGCCAGCTTGCTCTCTCCAGTACCATCGATTTATTCTTTTACAAGAACCGTCTGGTGGGGAGACTGGCAAGGTCTTCAAACAACCCATCCTTTCATGGGTGAAGGTGCAAGGCAGACGACACAGTCACACTGCACTGACGCAGCCATCCCAGAGAACAAGTATTGTTTCCCCTCTCATTACTGAGATATCCTGAAATGTATGCTCCCCACTTCTCAATCTGTAATTTGGCTACAATTTATGGCTTCCTTTTTGTCACATCACCTCGCTACAAAGTAATTACCCAACAAGCCAAAGAAATTAGATTCTGAATCAAGAATGCTGACCTCTAAATACACTCACTCACTCGACAAATTGCAAATTTATTTTATTGCATTACATTCTATAATAAACTTCCTAAAAACTTTATAAGTACCTTTATCATGACTACCTTGTCCTGCTAATCTTGAGATTAGGCTACAAATATACTAAAACTAGATGTAAGGTTCTTCCTTTATAAATTGTTATTTATCACCATCGCCCTTATACACAACACACATATCAAAATGCATATACAAAATACCTCAATGCTATGAAGGCTGCTCTACTCGTGTAGCAACATACTACACGGCTTCACCTACTTGGCTGAACTCAAAATGGTTAATTATAAAAGAAACCAAGAAACAAACTAGAGTATAGAGTTCAAGTCATATTCTCCATGAATTTCACTGAACCAATTCAAACGCATGTACTATTATAAATCTTTTATAAAATAGTTGATGTATTAATATGAACAATTATTGATAGAATTTTAATTTTTTTTTTTTTTTTTTTTTTTTTTTTTTTTGAGACAAACCCTTGCTCTGTTACCTGGGCTGGAGTACAGTGGCATGATCTCAGCTCACTGCAACCTCTGCCTCCCGGATTCAAGTAGTTCTCCTGCCTCAGCCTCCTCAGTAGCTGGGATTACAGGTGCCCACCACCACGCCTGGCTAATTTTTGTATTTTCAGTAGAGACGGAGCTTCGCTATGTTATGTTGGCCAGGCTGGTCTCCTCACCTGACCTCAGGTGATCTGCCTGCCTCAGCTTCCCAAGGTACAGGCGTGAGCCACTCACCCAGCAGGATTTTAATCTTTAAGGCAATACTTTTTCATTTTCACATTCATTCTCACCTCTTCGGTTCAGCAATAGATAATAATTTGACTTCTGGGTATAATGAAAAAATTCTTGCCTCCAAGAAGCCTAAAGTATTATCAAGAAACCTGCAGCCACAGAGAAACCTGGCTGAATACTGGAACTGCTCTCTGTGAACACAGACTCTCAGTTAACCACAAGTCAGGGTACTCATAAATATGTCTCTTCACTCACATGCTAAAGACACCAAGTAAGGTGGCTTTATGACATGGGTTTCAAAAACACACATTAGTATCAAGAATGTTTCTCCCTGTGAAGATACTCTTTTTCCCTTGCTACACGACATAATCACCATCAAAGACATGAATTCCTATTTTAAAAGATGATAATCTGTATATATTCCTAAACAAACACAGCTCTGAAGAAAGTATTCTCACAGTAACACAAAGTCTTACGTGTGAAACCTGTTTGCCTACTGGAAAAAAACTTTCAAGATTTCACAAAATTAAGATTATAAAAATCATTTTAAAAATAATTTCTAAAAATTAGAAATATATTTGGTTCGCACCAAACAAAACCCAATAGTTGTTCTTATGTGGTAAGAGTGCATACAAGCTTTCAATAAAAGCTATTGTTTTAAAGGTTCGTTTTTTAAATTATTATTCTACATGTTATTGCCTGTAATAAATTATAGCACACTATGCACGTCCCCCCCTCCCGTGTTTTTTTTTGAGACGGAGTTTTGCTCTTGTTGCCCAGGCTGGAGTGCAGTGGCATGATCTTGGCTCACTGCAACGTCCACCTCTCAGGTTCAAGTGATTCTCCTGCTTCAGCCTCCCAAGCACCTGGGATTACAGGCGCCTGCCACCATGCCCGGCTAATTTTTTGTACTTTTAGTAGAGAAGGGGTTTTGCCATGTTTGGCAGGCTGGTCTCAAACTCCTGACCTCAGGCAATCGGCCTGCCTCAGCCTCCCAAGGTGCTGGGATGACAGGCGTGAGCCACCAAGCCCGGCCTATACAGGTACTTTTCATGCAGTTAATCCGTGTCATAAAGCAGTGGAAGGAATTTGTACCCTGACTTCACCAATGAAGAAACATGCTCAAAACAAGTGACACAGCCTGAGCTCTCGCCCTTCATGATTGTTTGGCCCATAGCTGTACGGTCTCCCTCAAAGTTCACATCTTTCCATCCCATGCTAACTCCCGAACTCATTTCTTTAATATGCCTCAATTTACCAAATTTTACTTAAAAGATCATGTCTTGGCCAGGTGCGGTGGCTCACACCTGTAATCCCAGCACTTTGGGAGGCCGAGGTGGGTGGATCGCGAGGTTAGGAGCTCAAGACCAGCCTGGCCAACATGGTGAAACCCCGTCTCTACTAAAAATACAAAAATTAGCCAGGTGTGGAGGCGGGCGCCTGTAATCCCAGCTACTCGGGAGGCTGATGCAGAAGAATCGCTTGAACCTGGGAGGTGGAGGTTGCAGTGAGCCAAGACCATGCCATCGCACTCCAGACTGGGCGACACAGCGAGACTCCATCTCAAAAAAAAAAAAAAAAAAAAAAAAAAATCATGTCTTTACATACTTTTCCATCTCAGGACAACTATGTATTACATCCTATTACTACAATCACTGGGTGCCCAAGAAAACAAAAGATGAAACGGTTTCTGTCCCAGAGGTCCAATTTGGTTTGGCTGGATGTGTTTCTCTATTTCTGGTATCAGCTGTACACTCCCCTGGTCCTCTACTCCCAGCATACACAAGATACAACGGAAACCGCTTGAGGCTGAGATGACATTTAGGAGGTTTACTCTTCAATAAAGTCATCATGCATGGGCCACCCCGTTAGCCCTCAACCTCACCACACATCCCCAACCTGGTTTCTATGACTAATGCAAAACTTTTCCCTCTGTCCTTCTCAATAGGTGACCAATTATTCTTAAAAAATAATTTTTAAATATCATAAACAGCTCAATTAAAAACTGAGTAAAATAAATGAAAATAAATAATACTTTTCTTGAATGAAACCCGTCAGGTCCATCACTAGAGCATGCCTGCTGTGAAATAAGCACAACACACATACACTTCTCTGCATGTAAGCTTTCCATATCCCAACACTCCTCTGTCAAATCTTGAAGGAAAAATTGTCAAGATGTCAGTGACCTCAAAATAAATAAATTCTGTACTTAAAATTTGCAAATCAAGGATGCCATATATCTTCCAGCAATTCTTTAAAATGTTTAGGAACACGCTTAACTCACAAGCAGAAACTAAAAGGTAGCTTAGTTTCTAAATATAGGCTCAACATGCTCTTTAATCCACCTGGTTTAGAAGAGAAAATAAACTAAGGGGGAGAGGGAAAGTGCAAGGAATTCATGTTAAAGGAAACCTGACTAGTTCAGAATCTGTGATCATCTGAAAGAGGTTTGAGTAAAGCGTAAATACTCAAAATTACCCTGGATTTTTAAGTTTAGAACATAAATTATCCCTCTGAAACATTCAAATCTACCTATCATGCCTTTAAACTTCTACCCTTCTGTTACTACATTTTCTCCACCACATAAACACTTGTCTGACCTGGATCCTTTCCTCATCAAATCATGAAAGTGCCCGATTATATAAACATAATCATCTCGAGTTCCCTATTCTCTGAACACCTCTGAAGGGATACAAAAAACTCACATACACATTGGCAGAATCTAACCAAAACAACTTACAACTTAACATGAAATTCTAACAAAATATCTACATTCCTTTTACAGCTTTTCAAAAAGATTCACATTTTGATTCATAAAAAGAAAAATTAGTTTCAACAATGTAATCACTACTTTGTGGAATGAAATCAATTTTTTTCCATGATTAATATAGCTATTCACAGTAACCGTTACAAAAGCAGCTGTGTTGCCAAGGGGTTTTAGTAGATGTTTTCTAAATTTAAATATAAAATATGGAAAACACACATTTGAAAATTTATATCAAAAAACATCTTTAGTATTATCGGTCTTAATTTCAATGTAAATTAAATTCTACCAGGATACACTATTAAAGCATTACCATCCAAAAAATTAGAGCGCACATTCTAATGAAAACAAGCAAGGTTACAATGATTTGAACCAAATTATGTTTACATAATTGCCAAATAAGTCTAAAGTAAAAAATTCTCAAAAAAAAAAATAAAATTACACATAACTACACCACACCACAGTAGCACCCTGTAAACAATGTTTTTGCTGTTAGAATGAGCTTTCAACGTAATTTTTATGTGAAAAATTGTGTTAAACAAACCACAGCTCATTTCATTCCATCTCCTATATTTGGGTACTAAAGTATCTCAAAATTAAACGCTTAAGACCAGTTAATATCACCAACAAAACTATTTTCATCCACAAATTTTTAAAGGTCATGTTTCCCAAATAATTTGCACACCTAAACAAAATGGTCATTTTAATAGCTAGCACTCAAAATAATTACTTTCCATGAGAAATGTTCCAAAGGCACCACAAATGTCTTTGTGAAAACCTGACACAATTTACTTTAGAATAGTCACTCACCACTTCTTCCAATGCAGCACTTCGCCCGAAAGAACAAGTGAGGTGTGTGAGGCAGTTAACGAAGGAGGAGAAAAGCTCATTTGGAATGGCGGTTAGAACATTTCGTGGGAACACAGTTATCAGGTTGCTGATAATGCTGGAGATGCCCACAGCTTCAGAATCTTCTATTTCAATTCTAAAACCAAGGAATGAGTATTATTACGTGGCAGTAAAAGAAAAATTATTAATATAATAGCTCATTTCCAAACAAGCAAATATCGTTACTGATTCATTTTAAAAGGTATGTCTTTGTTTATTAATTTCAAATTACCCATATGACTTTACCTCAAAATGTAACGGCGAAAAATAACTAGTTCTTTTTTTTCTTCTACTGTTACACACAAAACATAGAGTTCCTTTTTCAGCTGCAAAGGGCAAGTATACCTACCCATTGATAGTATTCAGTAATCCCTCAATGAAGTGTGCGAGATAATCAACTTGTGATCCTTCATCAGGGAAGATGGGTCCATGAAGAGAAGCTAACTGGGCAAGGCACTGCAGAGAATCTTGTGCCATATCTGAATCTTCTCTGATTTTTCGATGTACCTGTTAGAAAGAATTACTAACCCATAAATATAAATTCTTCCTTTGTAAGGGTCACGTGTCTACCATGCCGAATGAGGTAAGAGAAAAATTCACTGTAGCTGGTTATTTCCAGAAAATTAATTCCTGAATTAAACTAAATTTAGAAAATTGTCCCTCAGTTCACTTTACAGGCCATTATTTTAAACATATCAATTGATTTTTAACCGAGGGCTACCTACATTTTGAAAATTGATCCATCTCCAGCATGTTATGACAAAGAGAGAAACAGATGCCAGCCAGTCAGACATACTGCTTCTTCTAAAAACAGCAACAACGACAGTCATCTGTATTATGCTAACTATGCCTAGCTACAGCTTCTTGCTAAAGTTAGCAGACAAGTTCAATCAAGAGTATATAGATGCTGCTTTAGTGGAAGTAAACAGTTGCACACTTAGAAAAGCAATATACCATTGAATCCCTAGACATTCACACATTCATTCAACCAAAATACAATAAGCACACTCTTTTATTAATTCTCAGTTCACTTACAATTTGTTTGAATCTCAGTTTAACCTACACCATTGCTATTAATAAATGCTAAAAGATTTTGAATACAAAATGTAAATTATACTTAAATCCATTTAAAGCTCACCTAAATTTTATTTAAATGATACAATACGGACATGAAACACCTGGAATAGTGTTCTGCATGAAGGAAATGCTCTTGAAATACTGCTCCCTAGTTTTATAGTATTAATATTCTCAGATGTTAAAGGTTTCATTTCTGTAATCTGACATAATAGAGCCAAGGAAAATTCAGTGAAGAAATATGATCATTATTAATCTTAATCCATCCAACACTTACTGTTGGATGTACCATTTTGTACTTGCCGAGGTACTTAACTACTCTAGCCCTTTTCTTTCCCACACAAAGTTCTCTCTCTTTTGTAAATGTGTGACACTGAACTCATAGTTTTCGGTTACATTCACTTTGACTAGGCAAATTGTTTCTCAATTACTTGCGGTCAGAACATTTAAGTACTCACTGGGATGCTGGGCCACAATGAAAATTCAGTAAATCCTTGTTCACCGAGACCATTAATCCCTAATCCCTGAACTTCTTAAGGTTCTAGTAATGAAATTTAAAATACTAAATAATCTCTAACATTACAAAGCTAACTGATCTACTGACATGCTTAAAATACGCTATACTCTTTGGACTAGAACAAACCACAGTCCATAAGCCAAATTTGGCCCACGCCTGTTTTCATACGGCTGTGAGCTAAGAATGGTGGTTGTTGGTTTTTTTCCTCCATTTCTGTATGGTTGGGGGAAAACCAACAAAAATAATATTTTGTGATTTTGTGACCTGTGGAAATTATACAGAATTCTTTTTTTTGTTTTTCCTGAAACGAGTTTCACTTGTCGCCCAGGCTGGACGGAGTGCAGTGGTGCGATCTCGGCTCTCTGCAACCTCTGCCTCCCCAGTTCAAGCGATTCTCCTGCCTCAGTCTCTTGAGTAGCTGGGATTACAGGCGCACGCCACCATGCCTGGCTAATTTTTGTATTTTTAGTAGAGACGGGGTTTCGCCAAGTTGGCCAGGCTGGTCTCAAACTCCTGACCTCAGGTGATCTGCCCGCCTTGGCCTCCCAAAATGCTGGGATTACAGGCATGAGCCATCATGCCCAGCCAAAATTCATTTTAATGACCATCAAAAAGCTTTACTGGAATACTACCATGCTTATTTACACATCATTTACGGCTGCTTCTGTACTACAATGGCAGTGTTGAATATGAACATATGACCTGCAAAGCCTAAAGTGTTTACCATCTGGCCCTATACAAAAAATGTCTGCAAATTCTTGGTCTAGAATACAAATATTTTTCAAACTATATTCTAATGTATTTTAAGTTTTATATAGTAAATTCCAAGTACAATAGACAAATTCATATATGCACACTGTCTAGTTCACAAACTTCTGAACACAACTCACTCTTATAAATTCTTTATCTGAAATCTGTAATTAAATTTTTATCACGATGCCTTAGAAGCTAATCAGCATTTAAGCATACTACCCAGGGAGATATTCTGTCAACAGACACAATGTAATCTGGGACAATAAGAATCCATCTGGACTGGGCGTGGTGGCTCACGCCTGTAATCCCAGCACTTTGGGAGGCTGAGACAGGCAGATCACAAGGTCAGGAGATCAAGATCATCCTGGCTAACAAGTTGAAACCCCATCTCTAATAAAAAATACAAAAATTAAAAAAAAAAAAAAAAATTAGCCGGGTGTGGTGGTGGGAGCCTACAGTCCCAGCTACTTGGGAAGCTGAGGCAGGAGAATGGCGTGATCCCAGGAGGTGGAGCTTGCAGTGAGCCAAGATCACGCCACTGCACTCCAGCCTGGGCGACAGAGCAAGACTCCGCCTCAAAAAAAAAAAAAAAAAAAAAAATCCATCTCACAATCTTAAATGTTCATTATGGTCTCGAAGCGAGCAATCAAAAGAAAGAATACCCGCAATGAAATAGCTAATGAAATAACTAAAAATAAAGTTAAAATAAATAAATAACTGTCTTTCGAGACAGTGTGTGCTGTTCAAACTTAATTTATGTTACCTGAAATATAAACCACATAAAACTATTAATAAATGCTTAATTTTTATACAATATAAATTCTTGCCTTTCTTCCAATATCATTACAAAAGAGTTCCTCCATATCTGAACATGCATTTCACTATAAACTATATTATAAAACGGAAAGCTGAATCACCACCTGAATATGGGAAAAGGACAGAGGGATAAGGGAAAGCAAAGACCAGCAGGACGCCCAGTGAGATGAACGGCAAGGCTATGCATCAAGAAAAGAAATACAAGGAAGGAGAAGCAAGTAAGGAAGATGACGAATTCTACTGGAACACGTTAAATCTGAGATGTCTGTGGGCCATCCAAATTATAACATCCAGTAAGCACTTGGATTATAAGGCTCTGAAACTCTGGAGCAGGCTGTGCTGAATATAGATGGAGGAGTCATCTGGGAACCAATGTCTGAAGTCCTACGTGTCAAACAGAGAGCCACAGGAAAGTGTACAGAGTCAGCAACGTTGAGAATTAAGATAGGAATGCCAATATTTATGGGATGAGCAAAGAAGGAAGAGACTATAAGCGAGATCAAGACGACTCTGGTCAAAAAGGTAGGAAGAAAACACAATGAAAGTGGGGTTTTTTTTCCCAAGACCTTATGGAAGGAAAAAAAATCAAGAAGTTTGTAAACTTCAGTAGGGCAGAATGCAACCCAAAGTATTCCAACACATTTAAAGTCTTAAGATTAACATATTTAAAGTCTTGTTCTTATGCAACAGTATACTGATGCTTATCCAAATCTAGCACAAGTGATATCCAGTGGAAAAGTACTTTAAATTAGGCAATAAATTCATATAACTAAAATTAAATTTAACCAGAATTAAATAAAAAGATTAGCCATTCTCATTTTTAAAACAAGTAACAAACTTGTTCATAAACTGCTTAAGTGAAAATAGCTACAAACCCAAAAATTGTTCAAATAAAGCAAAAAAGGGTTAACTTTCCAATTCAAAAGTTATTTGCATGTGGTTGTTCACAGCTGACAGGAGCAGCTGTCTGGTTTGTCTAGACAGCTGTTCAGATTTGGGAGAGTTGTTTCCAGCACCGCCAGCGAGTTTTTCACCTTTTCAAAAACTGCTGGAGTGGAATCGACTTTCAGTCAAGTGCATAATACAAAGACTTGGACTTGGATTCGTATCAAAACAATTCCTGTCAGATGAAGCAGGCCACGGAATTTTAAAATTTAGTTACAATTATCCCTTTGATCTTGACAGTGGCTTCAGCCATCATTTGTCTGATTTTAAAAAGAAACCACAAGGTGATTTAACGCTCAGTCTGAATATTTCTATAGAAAATATCTTTTATATATACCCATGGATAGATAACCTTGTTCTAGATATCTTAAAATACATACCACGTAACTACTTTATTTTAAATGGTTCAATCAGAAAAAGGCAGTTGAAGGGCTCATCTATATTTTTAAAACAAATGAAAAGAAACTAAAATTAACAATTGGGATTAAGCAAAATATCTTTTCTACTTTTAATTGGTTTTTACTTGGGCTTTTGTCCATGTCATTATATCTAACTAACTTGTATATTCAACTTATAACTGCAAATTAGCATCCAATACATAAATGCACACACACAAATTGTTTGTCCAGCTTTTGACTGCTCTACTAGGATACACATTGGTCAATGTGGGAACACACTGCTTACATCTTGGTATTTAGCCAATGATAAAGAGGACTGTCTAAAGTTATACACGAGATAAACTGCTATTCAATAATACCAACTTCACTAATGGCTCATAAATACAAGAAGTATAAAACCTACACTCCAGAATAGCAGTTCTCAAACTGTGGTCCAGGGATCCCTGAAGCTTTTTAAAAGCCTGTCAGGTTGCCTGTGACAAGAAACTACTGCATAATCCTATGAAGACAGTATCTGCATCTCCCACTGTCGCTGTCACACAGGTAAAAACTATTTGCATATAACATGAAGACAGCATCTGCGTTTCCCATTCTCACTGTCACACAGGTTAAAAGTGGATTAAGTCTGATATTATAGATTTACAAAAATGTAAAACAATGCTATTCTTCTCATTAAACTTGCTTTGTTTTCAAAAATATAGTTAATTAAAATGTTACTTATGTTAATATGTAATCGTTTGTTATTGTTACTTTTTAACACATTATTTTGTAAAGTTTCGTTTGAATTTTTAATAGGATAAACATAGCCTATATAAAGAAAAGTTCTTTGGAGTTCTCAATAATTTTTAAGAGTATAGAGGGGTCCTAAAACTAAAAGTTTGAGAACTTCTGCTCTAGGATATCAAGCCCTTCATAACTATGTGACATTTTTATAAATTGGCAAGAAACTTTTAAAATAATTTCTATTTAAGCAGCTATATTGATGAGAAGATAAGACTTTAGGGGAGAAAAGCAATCTGTTTTGTTTTACTTAAGAAACACGCCAAGGCATTTCCTCTCTTCTATGGCTCTTGCTACCAGAGAGGAAGACTACAACTTACTGTGAAGAAAAGCTCCATAACTCTGCTGTCCAGAAGAGTCTCCCGCCAGGACTCTGTTGGCTTCAACAGCACATTTTGCGAGGATTCAAACATAGCTATATAATGTCTGCCCAGTTATTTGGTGTCAAGGTCAACAACAATAACATTCTTACTTTGTCTAAAGTATAAGTGTATCCTAAATATAACAGGAGCCATCTAGAAAGAATCTGTAATGGTAACAGTTTAAGCCTCTTCACATATGCTACATAATTCATGCATGAAGCTAAGGAATAAAAGGCATTAAGTGCCTGGGGGAAAAAAGAATGTTACAGGAATGTAAGGTAATGCTTTCATTGTAATTATGTGTCATGCTGTAGGCATACAGAAACTTTGAGAACCAGAGAATTTAATAGTGGCAACAGAAGGAAATACTCTTATTGCAAAGCATACGCCAAAATTCATGCAAAAAGAATCAATTTCTGCAAGTTTATCCCATCATTTCCCCCCAATATCTTGCAACAATTAACACCACATATACAAAATGTGAGTCTCACATTGTCTACTTGGAAAAATAGCATTTTTCCAAAAGAAATATATTCACTGGGAAAACAAAAGACCAAAAAGAGTAAACACATATAACATCAAAGAAAAACAACTCCCACAGGTCACAGTATCTAAACATCAAGACAAAGAAATAATCCAACAAAAAACTTCACAGATGCTTATTTAAAATTCCCACAGACTAAAAAGCAATTTATATGGTGTTCAGGCATTCAATTTCAAACATGCTTCAAACAGAATACTGTTTTACCATAAATAAAGCAACCATCATAGATATTTGTAGGTTTTTATGAATACTATTTATTGATACCGCCACAGTAACTGAGGCTTTTAAGAAATGAGAAAACTCGGCCGGTCATGGTGGCTCACGCTTGTAATCTCCGCGCTTTGGAGGGCCGAGGCGGGCAGATCACCTAAGGTCAGGAGTTCGAGACCAGCCTGGCCAACACAGTGAAACCCATCTCTACTAAAAATACAAAAATTAGCTGGGCGTGGTGGCATGCACCTGCAATCCCAGCTACTTGGGAGGCTGAGGCGGGAGAATCACTTGAACATGGGAGGCGGAGGTTGCAGTGAGCCGTGACCACACCACTGCACTCCAGCCTGGGTGACAGGGAGAGGCTCTGTCTCAAAACAAACAAACAAACAAACAAAAAACAGTGGTTATGCCCCCTTCCATTGGTAATCAAATGTCCAGCTAAAATACTTCGACTATGCAACATTCACATCACTCAGTGAGAAATCTTAATGACAATCACCCAGAGCTATCGTCTGAAAAAAGTAGATAGAAATTCAAATACTATATTTTGAGTAAAGTCTAAATCATTATTTTTACAGAAAAATTATTATTCACAGAGAAAATTAAAGGCTGTAATAATGCTCTGGAAACCTTTTTTTTTTTTTTTTTAAGATTATTTGTTAACCCCCTTTAAAATAGCTAGTTCTATTCGGTCTCTGAAGAGCAAGGGGGGCACTATGAGTTGTTTCAAGAAGAAAAGTCACTGCTTGTTTCTGAAAAGTCACCCCCAAAATCCTCTGCAACTCTATCCGACTGGTTAACAAAAGTGAAACTCAAATCTGGTTCATTTAAACTTCCCTTCTCTCTTCCTTTATCTGCCCCCTTGTGGAGGTTCTTTTGGCCCAAAAAAGCCAAAAGAAAGAAGCCTGATTTTAAAAAGAGGGGAAAACAATCAGCCCGTGAACACTAAGAGCTATCAACAGACAGTGAGCCCATTTTCTTATGAGGCACTGATTGTGGTCTAAGGCCAATGCTGTGTTCTTCAACCAATACGACAATATACTGATTTATCGGACACCTAGGATTTGCTTCAAAATAGTCTGGGGATGGCAGAGCACAGATGAAACAAGACTGGCTGTTTAAAGCCGGGTATTCTCACTACTATTGTATATCTTTGAAAGTTCCCACAATAATGGGATGGCAAAGGCTTTAGTACATGAAATAAATCTTCTGAGTAAGGCAATCAATTATTTGTGGTGTGTGTGAGTGCGTGTGTGTGTGTTTAAAAATGAGACAGCCCAGAGAGGTCTTGAACTCCTGAGCTCAAGTGATCTTCCTGGCTCAACCTCCCAAAGTGCAAGGATTATAGGCATCAGCCAGCACACCTGGCCAATTCTTCATACTTCATAAAAATTTAAATACATTTCACTTACTCTTTCCTAGTTTTATTTCTCTTTACTTTCAATACGCCAAATCTAACAAACGAAATATACGTATGTAACATTTTCAACTAGGAAAGTAATGATTTTGTAATATTTCATATGCTTATAAAAGGTGTTATGATTTTATTTTTAAATTAGTTAGGATATGAAACAGATAAATGGGTTCACATAACCATAACAAAATGGTTGGCCTCAAACCTGACCATTTACCATGTTAGTAGTTAGCAGATGTATGATCCCTGAAAGTAAGAAGGCAAAGACTTCAGGTACTATCACTGCAAGAGAACGAAAGCCCAAACTTCCCTTCAAGAGCTGCAGACAGTTCAAGTACAGAGGACGAACACAGGTGGCAGAAGCGAAGGGAATCATATTCATAAATTTTGCTACTTCTGGATATATGAAAAACTCTATTCCAAGTAAATGAGGAGAATCTCTCACATTCTAATTATGCCTTCCAGGTATAACACAGCAAGGGGGATAACAGTGTGTTTTGGTAAGAGGGAGATGATAACCTAAAGATTCAATAAATCTTACAGAAGTATCAGTAAGAAAATACAGGAAGAAATCTTATAAAAGGAAACTATTAAACCTAAACCAACATTCTCTTATAATTCTCTCCTCTACCTTTTTATAAATTATAGAAAGCATATACTCTATTAATACTTCTGGATATCAATTATTTACATTAAGGGAAAATGGACATGAGTTTTAAAAAGGACTTTTTCCAGATATAAAATGGAATTCACTGCAATGGCTCATGTAACATCAGATTCAAAATAACCCTGAAATCTGATTTTTTTAAATCTTGGTCTAGCCTCTCCTAATCATGGTCTGTTTTTCAGCACACTGTCCCTGGTGCCCAATTCTGTGGCCAATTTTCTTCAAATGTTGGTAACCAGAATATTTTTAAGATTATAATTCCTTATATGTGGCCAACAGCATGGGAGATTTATGAGTTAGTATGTAACATCTATCAGAAAATACTTTTCCCCATAATTATTACAAAGCTCCGTGTTACTTTTGTTTTCCAACCCCAAACCTGGAAAGGATTTTTATCTCTGGCATGATGTTTGTCTTCTAACAAGAATGCACACTTGTAATGCTCCATGCAAAGAGGCCACACTTACCTTCCACTGAAAAACTAATCTACAACACCACAGACTTCACCACCTTCTATCAGCCAGCCTGGCAATACCACTAATAATACCACTATTATATACCATAATAAAAATGCACATGTACTATATTATACTTTTTATAAGACACAATTATAATCCTATAACTACAAATCATATCCCACTCTACTAAAAAAAATTAATATTCCCAAAAGCATTTAAATAGTTAAACATAAAACAAAAAGAACAGTATAACAAATATTTATATGGAACAGCATTAAAATGTTTATACAGAACAAATATTTAAAGACAATGCTATTCTTACAAGAAATATGTTTTAGTCATCAGATTGTACCGTGAAACTGCTGAAGTTGCTGCCCCTGAATAAGAGACTATGCCGGCTCTATGTGGGAGGGAGGCTTACTATGCATTCTATAACGTTTACTATTACCTAAAATATTGTTATTATTCATGTACATGCATTACTTTTCCATTTGAAAAAAAAAAACTAGTGAAGAACATATCACAATGTGGGCAGAATAACGATATACAAATCTGGACCATATCTTTACATTCAAAATAATATAAAGAATTAAGGTAATTCATTTTTAATCAGGTATTCTCAAATGACTATTTCTATCTGTATGTATAAGAAATTAAAAAATAGTATTTCAACCCCAGATAATTCTTAATGATTCTTATAAGAAATCAAAAAATACCATTTCCACCCCAGATAATTCTTAGATGCTTAACTTAAAAAACAAACAGAACCACTCCACCAGAATTCGGAAATCTAGCACTACTATTCTTAAAGCAGTATTTTTAAAATAATTTCAAGGTTAAATAAAGCAATACTTTCATTTAAAAATAATTTTAATAAAACAATAGTTTCCCTTTAAAACTTTCAAAAGTTTGATTTATAGTCACCACTTTAGCATTTTACAGTATCTGGACATTACATTGCTTTATCTTTTACAACAAATATGTCACCAACAAAAGAACAGTTTGACAATGAACTGATTATTCACTAAACTGTCTCTCATTATATGCTAATCAAATTTTATGAGACACACAAGTCACAAAAGATTGGAACTAAATAGCTATTATTTCACCAAAGTTCAAACGAGAGTATAATTCAAGAATTTTCTTGGGCTATGGCTTTATATATTTTTCTAAAATAAATACTGAATGCATGCAATTTATATTTTTATCAGAATGATTCATTTGTAACCAAACAAACCACAATTCCATCAATAAGAAAGCCAAACAGAGCTGCTTTCAGTCTTTTGCTAACCCTCTATCTTAAAAAAAAAATCTGTCATACACATCTGATCTTACTTTACCTTCCCATGTTCTCACCAAATCAAAGAATCAGGACCTTCAGTACAGTGATTTTTTTGCGGGTGGTGGTCTCTGTACCAAATACAAGTCCACTCCCTCGTAGCAAGAGTTCCGGCAAGGGATCCAATTCTGAAGTGCTAAAACCCAACCAGTCTTCTAAGCTCAACGCCATCATAATCCCTCGGAAAATCAGTTCCAGCTACATATAAATTCGACTGCACCACAGAAGAGTGAAGAATCAACTCTCCATTCCCTGCCCCCTCTCCCACAACAATCCTATCTAGCTCTAAAACTCTCCACTTAGGAAAGCTCACCAACTTCTGAGAAATCAAAGGCATATAGAAATGTACCACCTGCGCTATTCTGTAACCGCATGGCCAGAGACAGACATACACCAGGCCAAGCGCCAGAAGGACAGCTTCATCGCACCCTGTACT